CTATAAAATATTATAGTGAAACAATAAGAGTTAAACTTGCTAGAGTTAGAGGACTAAAAACTAGTGACAAGAACAAAAACAGAGGACGGACTTGAAGCACGAATTAGAAATCTTATAATCACAAAGTTATAATCAGAAACTATTCTACATCCGTAACTACTTCGAAATGGTCACCATTAGCATTTTTAATGTAAATGCCATACTCAGAAGGAGGTCCTTCGAGGTTGCCAGTGTAGCTGAATCTCTGCCACACATTATTAAGTTCTACATATATATCGACTCCAAGCCAGATCGATGCAGCATAGATTTCAACGTCAGTCGCCCATTTGCCCAACATGCCGCAACCCGATTCCCTGACGTACTGGGCAGATGTCTCTCTGTCGCTGAAGCTGGCAACTTTTGGTTCTGTTTTCATGAATGCTGCCAGTTTCTTGCGTACTGAGCTGTGGGAAGTCTCCTCTCCTGTCAGTACGTACGAAAGGGCCCTGTAAAAGCAGTTCCCGTCCCCACGGATGCTTTCTGTCTTTTTGGCGGCTCCCAAAGACTTAGGAGCGGCGTCGGGTCCAACTTTTAGGCACTTGCTTAGCCCAATAGTTTGGCACCTTTCCTTCCTCCATGCAAAGGGGACTGGGTAAAAAAACACTGTAAAAGAAATAAAAACTATATGCTAAAGCTTTCATTTCACTTTCACTTTAAAGTGGCTAAAAAATTCCAGATTTTAGGTCTTTTTTTGCGCAAAACTACCGTAAATGAGGTATATCCGAATAAGAACAGGAGGAATATCGTCTGCTCCCGGACCATCATTAAGTGTCGACCAATTAGAAGGGGCCTTTCTAGAGCCGGCTACGAGATAGACCCTCTCTGATTGGCTGAGGCTTTGTGATGGTCCAAAACCAGACGATATTACTCTTGTTCTTATTCGGACCTCATTAACAACCTCGTGTATAAATCAACACGTGTTGTGGCAATTTCACGGGTTTTAGCAAAATTACAAACACTCTGTTGTGTTGTTTTGCAGAAATTTTCTGTAATTTTTCTAACACATGAAAAATATGTAAAACATGCGAGGGGTGTGGAACTGGACATAATATGTGTACATCGGGAAAAACGTTTAGAAACAATCAAGAGACAATCGGACACAATCACACACAATCGAATACAATCACACAATCACAATTTTCTCCCCGACACCCGGTACCACCTCAGAAATATGTTGAAAAATACACCCAGAAAACGATATTCTTGATTTTAGAGTAACATACTAATGTTTAGTATGCACTGGAAATGCAAGTGTGTGAATGTCGCTCGCCTGCAGGTGAGCGACATTCCATTCGTGCACTTAGGGGGGTAAAGGTGTGAATTTTTCCTAGAAAATTTCACACCTTTACCCCCGTAAGTGTACGAATGGAATGTCGCTCACCTGCAGGTGAGCGACATTCACACACTTGCATTTCCAGTGTGTTGACAGTGTATAATACGAAGTATCTCATTCTAATCTTCAGTATGTAAATACCCTAATCGGAGATAAAAGTATGTAACATACTGAAGTAAAGTATGTTTGATTAGCATGTTGACATGCTAATCTTTAGTGTGTTAGTACCCTAATCTAAGAAAAAAAGAATACCGACTCGGCCAGGGTCATCAGATAATTAGACGTTTAACACCGTCGATTTTTAAAGAGACAACGATCGGGAAACGGGAAACGTATGTTTCCATTTTTACAGAAACGTTAGGGAGTAATTTTTACCAGCGTTTTTTTAATTTTACAGACTATGGCAATTCTACCAGACTTTAACTTGGCAACTGGTGCTCCCACGCTTTTCCTGTCAAAGCCCAACTAATTGTTTTACAATGTGATTTTAGACAAATTCCTTGTATTTTCTTCCAGTTACTGACCAGTTTTCAGCCTTTATATCTCCCTAGTAGGGCCTATCTAGAAATGCGAATAGACTGTATGACACTTTTGACGCACTTCCTGTGCATTGCCTTTGCACATGCATTTAATGCGTATAAGAATGCACCATGAGGCACCCTAAGTGTGTCTAAAATATGTTACCTTTTAGGCGCATATATAACCACATAAAAACACTTAATGTGCATTCACTGATAAACGAAGTGTGCAACTGCTAAACAAATGTGAGTGTGCAAATTGAAGGTCAATACTTGCAAGTGTTCAGCTTGGTAGATGTGCACTTGAAAGTGTGCAAACTCCTCTGTTGAGCTCCTCCCACACAGCGATTCCAATGTAAGGAATTCTTGCATTGAGTACTTGCACGCTTACAAGTGAACTGCTACCGAGTTCAACACTTACAAGTATTTAGCTTGCAGTTGCTCACTACTTACAAGTGTTAAGTAGTTGCACACTTGGTTTATTAGTGTTAGGGGCCGTTCATATACTACGTAGTTCATTTTTGGACCCCCACCCTCCCCCTCCGTGACCGACCGTAGTAC